GTTGACTGTTAAATGTTACGTGTTCCGTGAACGAACAGCGTTGTCGTTCATTGATCAGGTAGAGCTGTCCATTGTGCTGATTTTGTTCGAGACGCTTTTTCAGCCGTCAGGTTTCGTCGTCGGTAGCTTTGGCACCGATTACACGTTAAAGGGATAGTTCACTTCAAAATGAAAATTCTGTCATCAGGCCTAGGCCTACTCACACTCAAGTTGTTTCAAACCTGTATGAATTTCTTTCTTCTGCTGAACACAAAGGAATATATTTTGAAGAATGATTATTATTATTATAATTATTATTATTAATAAGAATGTCAGTAACCAAACAGTTAACTGGAACCATTGACTTCCATAGTATTTTTTAGTAAGTCAATGGGACCAGTTTACTGTTTGGTTACTGACATTTTTCAAAATATATTCCTTTGTGTTTAGCAGAAGAAAGACATTCATACAGGTTTAAAACAACTTGACGGTGAGTATATGATGACAGAATTGTCATTTTGATGTGCATCTCTTTAAGCATGTTTTGTTGAATTGTGGTTAGGCATATGCTACTGATGTTCAGTGATTTTAAAAGTAGCCTCAATTAGGCCTGCATGAAATTGGAAATTATTTTCTGTTGCAATCATTTATGATTGAAAATAAAATGTCTTAAAATACAATATTAAAAAAGATTTGTTGTTGATCATACAATCAGTTGTTATTGAAACTCATCATTGCCTGGAACACACAAACGATGGCATTTACTGTAGAGGCGTGGATTAGGGCTTGCAGACAGTGTTTTTTTTTTTTGGGGGGGGGAGGCTGTCCTCACCTACTCTAAGGGGAGGCTCACATTCACCCAATTTGAAAACCCCTGTCATACACCAATCGTCTGTACTCTGTAGCCTATTGAGCTGCTTCATGTCAATCACTGTGTGCTGTATGCTTTCGAATCAGTACTGTGACGTCATACACCAATCGTCTGTACTCTGTAACCGAATAAATCAGAGACGACTTGAAGTCAACATATTTATATGATGGTCTGAGGACAACATCATGTAACAGAATAAATCAGAGACGACTTGAGGTCAACATATTCATATGATGGTCTGAGGACAACATCATGTAACCGAATAAATCAGAGACGACTTGAGGTCAACATATTTATATGATGGTCTGAGTACAACATCATGTAACCGAATAAATCAGAGACGACTTGAGGTCGACGTATTCATGATTGTCTGAGGACAACATCAGAATAAATAAGCTAATTCAAACGTCTCTCCCTGGATCTCTCAGCAAATCATGCTGTACTGTCTGACCAAGCTGAATGGTTAGTGCGACATGCATATGCTAACGTAATGTTACTTAAAGAGATTTTAGGAAACTTTTCTGTCGCACCAGTTTATTTGTTTTTTGTAAAAACAAAATTCCTTTTTTTTTTAGCTTGGCACACTATAAAAAAAAAAAAAAACATCTAAACAGTAATTTCATCTTTTATAGTTTTTATTTTAAGACCCAGAACGTCAGCGATGCTGATCAATTGCTCATTTTACTGTTAAGCATGTCCTGTTAACATTATCAGCGTTACAGAACTTCAGTGGTGGACAAATGCTAATGTTATTCCAAAAACAAGTATGTTTAGTCATGGTACAAGACTGCTGTTAATTAATAGGAGAATGTAAGAAGCCGTTGGTCTTACCTTGTAACTTGTGCGCTTGTTGGTGTGTTTTTTTTTTTTTTTTTTTTAGTTTGGCAGACTCGACGGGGGGCACATTTTGATGACATCATAAACGTTGATTGGCTGAGGCAGTTGTTGTCCCAGGGTCATCATAAAGATACTGGTTTTAGGAGAGCTATCAGGACGTGCGTGTCGTTTAGAGCCTTTTGAAGCTGCACTAAAACTGTCATTTGGACCTTGAACCGTTTGGTTCCCATTGAAGTCCATTATATGGAGAGAATCCTGGAATGTTTTCATCAAAAACCTTAATTTCTTTTCGAATGAAGAAAGAAAGACATGGACATCTTGGATGACATGGGGGTGAGTAAATTATCAGCACATTTTTTTTTTTTTTAAAAGTTAACTACTCCTTTAAGAATTGTAAAATATAGCCTACATTAAACGTGCAACTAATAAAGGTGGTGAGTTCTCACAATTACCACTTTTTAACTCTTTTTCCCACCAGAATTGTGATATAAACTCACAGTAAAAAAAGTCTGAATTAAGACACTGTATAAAGTCTGAATTGTGAAATATAAGCTCACAGTCTCTTATAAAGTTCTTCAGTATTGTGAGATAAAAAGGTGCAAAAACAAACATCCAGAGCATCATCATGAAAAGTGCATGGAAAATCTGTAGGCCCAATGGAAGTGGACTTAGTCCAGTAATTGGGTGAGAAGAATTCATTAAGATTCACTCATCCAGAAACAGATTAGGCTACACCATACGCTGGATTTTCTTGTTTCACTACAAACCACCAGCTCATATTAGTTGCTCAGGAATCAGATCATACTTGCTTTAATGTTTTTGCTGTATATTCAGAACTGTCAGAAAAAAGGTACAAAACCTTTCACTGGGGCGGTACCTTTTCAAAAGGTACACTTTTGCACCTAAAGGGTGCATATTGGTACCATAATTGTACAAATATGTACCATGAAGGTACCAATATGCACCCTTTAGGTACAAAAGTGTACCTTTTGAAAAGGTACCGCCCCAGTGACAGGTTTTATACCTTTTTTTCTGATATACATTCAATCTGCTAATAGAACCAAACCGCATGCAAATCATTTATCTCTGTTCTCTAGATAGGACTATAAAAGAACCCTGAGGTATGGTACAAAGAATCTAACAGACTGGGGTAGGCCAATGAATGTGTTAAGGTTCGTGGAATGAATAAGGGCTTTTGACTATTGAAAAGGGCTTGTGAAGTTGACCTGGGGACTGTGTTGATGTAACCAGGGTGATCAATGCAGCAGTTGGTCATTTTGTACTTTCCCTGTTCTACTATTTTCCATGGATAGGGATGAAGGAACACAGGAATGGGATAATAGGTTCAGAGTTGATGTTAATTGACACTTTGAACTCCATCAACACAGTAACTGAAATGCAGAAATGTGTGGCTTGATCATGTCTAAGAAACAATACTCGTTCTTAAGAAAACAAAACCGTGTTTTTAACTGCATAAAATAAATAACTGCATTTGGATCCAGCTCTCCCTCATTTTTTAAAATTCACCAATCATTACAAATGCCAGCATGCTCATGTTGTTGTCTGAATAAATAGCATCTTAATGGATTTTAATAATTAATTTACCCATTTAAGTTCATTTCTTCTTCAATGTATCTTCTGTTCTGTAACTTTCACATACACATAGTGTCCACAGAAGTCTGAACACCATATCCCACAACATTTTGATACAAGACTTTGGTAACACTTTAGTTTGGAGACCAATTCTCACTACTTGCATATTACTGGCATATTGGCTGTTCATTATTACTAATAAAGCACATATTAATGCCTTATTCTGTATTACCATGTTCTACATCCCTTATTCCTATCCCATACATAAACTTAACCACTACAACAATACCTTGCTACTTATTAATAAGCAGTAAATTAGGAGTTTATTGAGGCAAAAGTCATAGTGAATATGTGTTCCCCAAACTAATGTGTGACCAAGACATTTTTTGTTTTGGACGTTGGTAGCATTCCAAGTATTTACCCAACTTAGAGTATTCTAAAAAGTGTGCGTGTATCATAAATAAATGCCAAAGAAAATATGCTATTTAGTATTTCCAACTGTTGGTCTCTATAAAGTAAATATTGATAAATATTTAATTCCTTTTCTGTGCACTCATAATAAATTAATAGTATGTGGAAAAGGAGGGAAATTTTGCTTTTATCTGATTCATTTGTGTTTTTATGCATGCTATTGAGTACTATTACCTTTTCTGGACACCGTGCTGACTGGTAAGAGTCCAGGATCGGGGGAAGAGAGCTAAAACGATGAACATCTTCAGTTTCCATCGTCATAATCAGACCAGTTGGCTATTAAGATGTGAATTGGTCTATTAACACACAACATGGACAAAATACTTAAGTTAGAGAAATTAAATATTTGATGTGCTGTAAGTTTTCTGTAAAAAGTACACTTAAATGAGTAGGAATTAATTTGTAAAAATACAAATATTCAAATTTGGCTCTAAGTTGATATGAAGTCAAGATGCACTAGAATTATAAAATGAACATTAGAATAATTTTGCATGGTCAACCACCTAAATTCATTATTTTGATGCCACAAGGAATCAGATTACTTGCATTTCTGAATACAGCAGCAGTGGGATTCCCAATAATGTAGTTACTATCACATAGAAAACATTAACTTTAAATCTAGAAATAATTAAGAAAAAACATTCCAGTTTAGCAAAAAAAAAAAAAAAAAAATCAGCTCTCTGAAGCCTTTGATTTTAGGCCTACTAACAATCAACTAGTAGTTTCTAGCGACTCAAATGTTTGAAGAATAACCCAAAAAACTGGATAAACAGCTTTTCTAACAACAAAGTCTGTTACTGTAATCGTTATTATATATTTGAAAAGCAATTTTCTGAATGACTAAGTATTTTTCTCTGCAGCATCAAACATCTCCACAGTAAGAGCTGAAAGTGAAGTGTGGAGATTTTCAGGTCTGATCTGTGTTTAAGGGGTTGTTGCCATAGTGCAAGCTTACACAACTTCAGTCCCATTGATACTTTAAAGCCCAATCATTTCATTTTGTTCATTGTAGCCCTGTTGTGCTCAAGTTTTACCCAATAAGTTAGTAATATTTATAAGAAAACCCCCGTGTAAAGTTTGTAGTGAAAGACTACACCTATACCTACAAAAATGTATTCTAGCTACAAGATAGGCCTATATAATTGATTATATAGATATCTCAACTTTCTCAAAAGCAGCAGCGCTTTCTACACCTTTAGCTATACACACACACAGTTCACATTTGATCATTTAAATAGGCTAATAAAAAAACATGTCTTTTTGATTTTATTATCAGAAGCCTTAAAAATGACTTGGAACAACACAGCATATAAACACCACATTGCAAAATAAATACTGTACACGGCTGGTTCGTCAATCAAACAGTCCTTCAGTTCATATTACACACTTTTTTAACAAGTGTCAGATATTAAGTGTCTATTAAGTCTCTCAGTCAGTGTCGTCTTCGACAGCTATTGTTTTCTGGCACAAAGGAAGGACCGTGGCCTCTGGATGCATTTCACGGGTCGTCAATCGCTTCAATATACTTCCAGTTTGAAACACACATCTGTCGTTCAGCCCATCAAAGTGAAAACAATAGTAATGTGCAAAAAACACTACAGTTTCCCAGTCATTGTGTAAAGGTAACCAGCAAAAAATTTCTCTGAGTGATGATCAGCAATACATCTCAATGCAGAAAACATTCAGACATTCCCGTCAGTCCATTAAGAAAGCTGAGTTTGTGTGCGAATATAGGACGCGTTCTTGCGTTCATTGTTGCGTTATGTGGACGTTTTTACGCAAGCACGTTTAAATGGTGAGTCAAGTTAAAAAAAAATCAATTCCAGTAGGCTAAATTTAGGAGAGCGTTTATGAACCCGACTAGCTACATGTCCTGCGTGAATTGCAACGTTCATATACGATGCCTTGTTGCATTACATCTTCTCTATTTTCAATGTTGGTCGATGTAAACAATGCGACGCATTTGATTCTTTTTTCGTGCCAAGTTTTAAGTTGTCCAGGCCCAGTCACGCGCCATATTGTGCGCCTTCCTCCGTTCCGTTTGTGTTGTTTGTTTTACACGTCAAACGGTCACTTAGGCGGCGTGTCCAATTAATAATAGTTCAACTTATTAACAAACGCGTATCTTCAATACCATTGCGCTCTGTCCCGCTGTTTTCAACGCAAGAACGCGTCCTGTGTGAATGCCCCTCAGACAACATTATTTCTAAAAGCAAATTAGGTGGCTTTTGAGTTTGACACATAACTAGTGGACTGAAGTCTTCACAGTGGACCTTTCTTTTGTGTAGGCTAATTTTGGGGTCATCAACTTTTAAGATGAGGCAAAGATGACAGTTTATCAACTTTCCCAAAAGCAGCAGCGCTTTCCACGCCTTTGAGCCACTCTTTACATTTCCTCATGACAGTCTCGTCCACGTCTCCGTCCTCCTCCTCATACTCAACATCATCATATTTGTACTGATCATTGAGGAGAGAGATCTTCACAATGGTGCTTATGTCATTGGAAGCGTCCAGTTTGGCAACAGGTCCTGAGCTCTTATTATTAGAGCTGCCCTGAGCTCTCTTGGATGGGAAAACGCGCCGGTGTCTCAAGTCCGCGGACGCGCAGCACTTCTGTTGCCTGGCCATCATTTGCTTTTCCAGATTGCGCTTTTGGATGACCAGAATGGCTTCGGGGGTCAGGCTGAGGGAGAAGTGGATCTCTTGCTCGCCACCTTCTTTTGCTATAGAGGTCCTGGAGGCGTATTTATGGCTGGACTCTCCAGAACTGGAGCGTGGGACGCTTTCGCATGAGGTAGCCAAGGGTTTGGGGACGCTCAACCATGAATGTTTGCTGTCCGTGTCGGGATCTCGAGGGACTCTGCTCGGCTTACTTCGCGCCAGCTTTACATTGGCCGACGGCCACGATGTGGATATTTTCTCTTTCTCCGATCCCTTGTCGTCTCCTGTCCTTTGACTGTAAGTGGGTTGAGGAGGTGCGACATTGTCCCTGCTCTTCTTTCTCCTGAACAGCTCATTTCTTGGCGATGATATCCTTGAGTGCAGGTTTATCGGCGGAAAAGGCATTTTGAATGCTTTCGATGCGCAAAATAATGAAGAAATCTGTGCGTGAATGATGGGAGAAATACGTCCATTCGCCTCGGTCCACCGGATCTTTGGATATTAGACGCAGTAGTCCACTGTACTCCACATCTCACTTCGACTGACAAGGGGCGGGGCATCCGCGGGACTTATAGTGTCAGGCGGAAGGGGCGTGGTCACAACAAAAAGGTTAAAACAACAAAGCCATGCGCATGCAAGTGCCTGTATGAATGTATCTTTTAAAGAAAGTTTATTGCATTATACAATACAAAAGCTTTGTAAACACTGGTGTAGTTCATTCATCACATTAATATGATCATGTCACCTCAAAGGGATAGAAAGGGAGAAAAAAAATGATATCAATAGGCTACTCACCCTCAAGTTGTTCCAAATCTGTTTCCTTTCTTCTGTTGAGCACGAAATATGATATATTAAAGAATGCTGACAACCAAACAGTTGTCAAATACAAACAAATACTATGGAAGTCTACTATGGTCAACTGTTTGATTGACGTTTTTGGGTGATGTATCCCTTTTAAGACACCCTTCGTCTTTTATATTGTTTTATTTAAACCTATACGATTTAACACGATTTTAGTGTAAAAAAAAAAAAAAAAAAAAACACTTACTAACCAATTTTACATCTTTAATGCAATGACAACGTAATGTAACAACTAATAAAATAATCAATATAACCTTGATTTAAAAAAAAAAAAAAATTATATCTAAAAAAATGTTTTATTTAAATGTTTGCCAATTGAACTAAATCTTGAAAATGTCTTAGAAGTGTCCAAAGGGTTTCTTGTTTTATAGAACAAAAAAAGATTTGAAACAGTAACGTGTTGGAATTCAGCTAGCAGAGCTTTACAACGCAGAGCCAGCCAACGGTACTTTTTCGATATTTTGTCCTTGGTGACCTTGGCATAGAGGAGGTTAAAGACAAGCAGCCTCCATCGCTATTGATCCGTCACCCTCCTTTCCAGCAATTGGTAATTTCACAGTGACATCTGTTCTGTCACCCAGCCACTGCGAAGTGTTTCAGCCAACAGTGAAATGAGGAATAAAATCAATAGGCTTATACTTACTGTTAAGATGCACAGATGTTTAATTTCACAAACAACATCCATAGATTGCTTACAGAATGAAATCATAGAGATTACAGTGAAGAAAAACTTTTGGGAGGATTCTATAATGGCTGTGATTAAACACTGTTAGTTATGCGACTGATCCTTCAAAGCATGTACAGTCAAACCAAAAATGAATCATTCATTTTTTTTTTTTTTTTTTTAACTAGAAGGTGCAGGACACTATTGTTCATTTGTGTGATTGTGAGGATAGACAAAATAAAGTAAACTGTGACATATTATACCCATACAGTGGACTACCAGTAAAATGTATATATGAAGAGTTCAGATGCAAAAGCCTCTAAGTGCCATTTGAAATTTTCTTCTAGAATGATCATTTTTATCAAGCTTGTATATTTAAGTTCAGTGATTTCACTTAAATGGCAATGATAATTACCTATTAATTGTTATTTAAGTGAAATTACTGAACTTAAATATACAAGTTTGATAAAAATCAACATTAAAGAAGAAAATTTCAAGTGGCATTTATAGGCTTTTGCATCTGAACTCTTCATATATTTGGGACCAAAAATGATCTAGGCAATTTGACCTGCCAATGTTTTAATTGCTAATGTGACCCTTTTACACCACATACTGAAAAAAAATGAAGCATTGCTTGGTAATTGGTTGACCTAAATTGGTATTATCTAATTGTGTACTTAAATTTAACAGCTATTCAACCTAATTCATTTGTGAGAGTCTAACAGAAGAACGGCCAAAACAGTGAACAATCAACTGATTTGATAACGCTTGAGTTCATATTTCATTGAAACTATAGCAAATATGAGACATGTTCAAGGTGTCTGAATACATTTTGGTTCGACTGTGGCTTTGTTTGAAGAGCATCTGTGATCTAGAACGAAAAACAACCTTAATTTATTCCATTTCACGCTTAATGGCATCAGTTGAGTTTCCAACCGGATGTGCTAAACGTTCCGAGAGCTGATTTCTTACATCAGACGTCCGTACGCTATCAGATGAACATATTCTCACTGAATATGAAAGTGTTCTGGCTGACTGCGATTTGGAGAGTAAAGCATCTTTCTGGAGGATCCACCAACAGCTGTACCCAGTCTCTCACCACTTTAAGCAATCGATCAGCACGTGATCAGCATTGTGCATAGAAGAGTGCTGTGGAGGAGGGAAGCTCAAGAAAACAGAGCGCTCCCACGGTCGTCATGGAAACCGCATCCGTCTCCTTGCTTGTGCAGTCTAAAAACAGACCAGCCACTCTAGGTTATTAGGTCATGTTAAGAACATGTGACGCCTGGAGGTGTAATGAACAAACCTGTATCTGAGCATGCAAGAGACAATCATAAGGGTTTATTGAACAAAAAGCTATTGTTTTCTTTAGAGGTATCTCCTGGAATGCCATCAGCTCATCTCCTGAGATCCAGTGTGGGGTGACAGCTGTCTCTGTTGCCCTGGGCTCAGACAAGCATCATTATTCTGAACACATCAGTCAGAAGATTATAACATATGACACATTAACTCCCTGTTCAGCAGGCGAATCAATTCCAAAACATCCAACCAACAAAGCATGAGTATTGTATTTATTTATTTATTTGGTGTGAATGTTGCATCATAAGAATAGGGTTGTTCTCTTGTTATTATATTTGGTAGAAAGGCATTTTTCTGTACAAAAGTGAGCAGTAGTAGATTTCATTCATAAACATCACACGTAATAAAGCACTTCACTTTGTTTTAACTGGCAGTGTATCATGTAATTATCCGCCACACACAAAATAAAAACAACAAAAGCTTTAGAAAAGAAAAACGTAAGGCTTGGAAGAAATGCAAATATCCCATATTCACTCTTAATATTACACAATATTTAAAAAAAAATATTAAGACAAAACATTTTTTTTAAGGTCTTGGAGAATAATGTGGCAGGTTCTGAAATGAAAGAGAAAACACTCTTGCAAGGCAGGACCTGTCGTCAGAAGGAATACTGGACACTTCAGCTCAAACAGGAGGTGAAACACTTCATGACAGCATCCCTGTGATAACAAAAAGACATTTGTTTATGGCTGACGGCTCAACGGAGTATTAGATCTGGGTGGGGGCTCACAGCACAATCCACAGAAACAGATGGATAATGAAAATACTATGATGAAAATCATACTTAATCCTAAATAAACCGATAGCTTGCTGTTAATGTGGTTTATTACCTCAACATTCAATTTAATTCTTTGTTCTAAAAAAACAGCTTGTTTTTTTTTTCCCTTTGTTGTGACTGGGTGGAGCTCTTGCATATTTGATTATGTTTTGGTGGGAATAGATCGCATGAAAAGCAGCAGATCAGCCTCATTTCCAGGTACGGAGAACGGTTTATAAATGATGATTGTAATGCACTTTAGAGGGTATTCATTTTCCTAAAGATCATTTTACTTTGTATTAGAATTATTTTATTTTTTCATTTTTTTGATAGACAAAACTAAAGCTTAAATGTTTCATTCAGGGAGTATGACTCTCTGATATTTTTATGTCTCAGATTTAAACTTCTATTACAAGAAGTTGGTAGATTCAATTAATTTCAAACCTAAAGGCTGGCCCACACTAAACGAATTTAAAGGAGTAGTTCACTTAAAAAAACCAAAAAAACCCCCGATAATTTACTTTTGCCGATAATTTACTCACCCCAATGTCATCCAAGATGTCCATGTCTTTCTTTCTTCAGTTGAAAAGAAATTAAGGTTTTTAATGAAAACATTCCAAGATTTTCTCCATATAATGCACTTCAATGGGAACCAAACGGTTCAAGATCCAGATGAGAGTTTCAGTGCAGCTTAAAGCGACACCAGACGATGAATAAGGGTCTTATCTAGCGAAACGATCGCTCATTTAAAAAATAAATAAAAAAGTTTAAGTTTTATAAGCACAAATGCTTGCCTTGCTCTGTTCTGTGATGAGTATTTGTGACTCTCCTGTTCAAACTCGTTCATCAAAATGAACGAATCTTTTTTCGAATCATGACTCGAAGGGCCCTAGATAGGACCCTTATTCATCGTCTGGTGTCGTTTGAAGCTGCACTGAAACTCTCATTTGGACCTTGAACTGCTTGATACCCATTGAAGTCCATTATATGGAGAAAATCCTGGAATGTTTTCATCAAAAACCTTCATTTCTTTTCAATTGAAGAAAGAAAGACGTGGACATCTTGGATGACATGGGGGTGAGTAAATTATCAGCAAACATTTTTTTTTAAAAGTGAACTACTCCTTTAAGGGCGAGATTGACTGAACGGGGAAAATTAGTGATCAAAAACAGCGCAGATAGGAGTGGAAAATTCTTTGCATGATACTGACGTGACGACGCGTAAATTAAAGAACACAGACAAAGCCGATTCATCTGCACAATGACTTACGGAAAATTAGCAGCTGGTTGCTTTTTTGAGTTAAATAATGTTAAATAAAGAGTTAAATAACTGCGCAAATATTAGTAAATCAACATGATTCAATTACTCTCCTCTCAAACATTTTGCATCTGAAAGGGAAACTCCAACAAACGAATGTGCAATAAGGTCAACACTGGCCTAGCCTTTTTAGTGCAAATGTTTCCAATGTGTCTTTAGTAAAACCTGACAGTAGTTTTATTTAACGGAAAAAGAGGGTTTGTGCTGGCGTAAGCTGTTAGTAAATCAGATTTTAGTAAATCAGATTGTATTATTTATTCAGATACCGGTATGGAAGAGACCACAAAAACGTGATATTAGAATAAACAAACATGGCAGACCACAGGCAAGAATAAATGGCACTAACAGTGTTTGGGCAGCTATTTACAGAAAATTTGCGGGGAAAAAGGCGGTTTGGATGAAGTTGTGTTATTTTCCATCAGCTCGTTTTCTGATTGGAAATTGGTTTAGTTCCACATGACAGTCTACATAGTGTGGTTGCCTTAAGCCGGGCTCAGTACAGGAGTTTCAGGCCGATTAATGCCCGAAAACAATGCGTCCAGGGCATCGGTTCTGTCGTTTGACACAGATTATCTGTTAATGTGAGGCGTTTACAGATCAAATCTTAAACCTCTCGATCTGCTTGTGGACACATGGGGCCGCCCCGAAAACATCAAA